TGTTAAGTGAGTACTGGGAGTGGATCCCTGGTCCTCATGCTTAAGTGGCAGGTGATTTTATGGACCAAAAATCTTCTTAGCACCATATTCTTTTCTAATGGAGAATTTAAAATTTAACTTTTTCAGTAGTTTCAACTTAACATATAACTTACAAAGTTTAATATATAACTTATAAAGTTATAACTTACAAAGTTTTTGTATGAATTTTATCACTCCATGTTCTCACTATATACCTCAAATTTTATTTTTTTCATAACAGGTGCCAAAAACATACCTTTGCATCAGTTATTTTGCTAAGAGCTGACTTTTCTGGTTGTATTCTTTTTCTTAAGAGAGCTTCAATACAAACAACTCCACATACTGTAAAACTCATCACTGCTCTAGAAATTGTTATGGTCTTAGAATTCCTATGTTGTATGCATTGGCTTTATGGTTTTCAAAAGTGCTATATGTTTGGTGAATGTCTATGCTTGTCCAAGTGATTTGGTGGAAAGAGCACTGATAATAAAAACACATTCTGACAAGAAACTAAACCTGAGACCCTCCTATGCTTTCTGTGGAGTTGTCATATACATATATGGCTTTCTTTGTTCTGAAACTCTTCTTGGTATAAACTTTGTATAGATTCTATGTAAAGAGTTTCTAAGTGGATCTGTCTGTGTTTTTAAAGCACAGTGTGTACTTTTCCAGTTCTGTGGCAGGACTGCTGATCTGATAAGAAGATAGAGTCTATGTAGAACATCACTTCTTAGAGTGCCTCTCTGGTTTCACAGTGAAATCGCAAATATATTAATGGCCTACTTTTCTTGTACCATGAAAATCGATTTTCCCTTTGTTTCTAAGGAAAATCATTCTGAGGGTACTCAGCACTGTGTGATGAATGGCACGAAAAAACACTTTAGGACTTCAGATGGGAGAAGACTGACAACATTTGTTTGCTCCATGCAGCCCAACTCACTTCCCATAAACATAGTCAGTTTTGCATTAGTTCTCTCTCCCTTTAGTTTTCTAAGTCTGTATAGATGTTTCTGTGCATAGTCTAATATCCAGCAAGGTATAAAGATAGCAAAGCACTCTGCTTTTGGCACTTTCTAGATTTGCCAAGTGTACCTTGAAAGGTAGTTCCTAGTCATTTGCTCCTCGACTGTCTAGTAAAAGCTTGCATTTCAATGCCTGGCACCGGGAGAAGCAATTGAGTGGGAGATTGAGACTACCAAGATATTTGCTAAAGGATCTTAAAGAAGCCTACACATGGACGTCTTGCAGCCAGATTTTAAGTGAACAAAATAAAATCCTGTTTTTCCCCCTTGTGGTTATTTCAGGCTTTTTATTTTTAAAGTAACCTTCACATATGGTTCTTCCATATAAGCCTAAATATATTTTATGTTGGTATATGCATGATGGGAGCTTACTTTTCATGATACAGAACACTGAGTAACGTGTTCTTAATTCTGGCATTTTCAGTTTGTATCAGAATGAAGAGGCCACTGAAAATTCTCATAAAACGACTGCTCCATGTTCACACACAGCTAACTCACTTACACTTTTACATTCTTAGCACATTCTATTAATTAAGGAAATCACTTTCATTTCAGCAGTGGGATTTACATGACAACAGCTTCTGGGACTCATTGGAGCATCAGACCAGCATGTCACAAAACTCCCTAGTAGTGTGGGTGGTGACAGGGCTCTATTGACAACAGATATGCAATGAAAACAGCTCATAAATGTGCAACCACCCAGAACATTACATAGAAAGGATCATGTGGATATTCACATAGGTCACTAATGTCACAGAAGGCCATTTCCCATCTCTCACATTAACCAGATAAATTATTAGGATATATAGCCACACACAAACACATAAATGTCCTAAAACATATACTATTGAGGCAAGATGTGGGCATAGAATTGGTACCCATGTGTTCTCTTATGTTATTATGTATTTTACATGTTTTATATAAATGTTGGGTGATGATCTGAAGTCATACAAGAGGATGGAATAGCTCAGAGGAGTAGATGATAAGGAGTTAGCAATAAGATACATTAGAGTCATGAAAGAATGAAGCTGAATTCAAACATTCTTAACAGAGAGAACTATTACACTATGAAATAGTGTTTCAAAAACTCTCGAAGAAATCATCACATGACCTGTTAAGAAATACACTGGACTAAAGCACTCCAAAGTACAGTAATGCTGTAGGGACCCAGGCAACATCAGAGATGGCAGGAGGAGGATGACTAATGGTTTGTGTGGTCTCCGTTACTATGATTGTACTCATTTTGTGTGCTTAGACTGGGTAAATAATCTTCTCTCATTTTGCTCTGCTTCTTGAAAGCAATTTCAGCAAATTTATCTAATGTAGAATTGGATACATTTAGCACAGTCTCAAAAGAATGAACAATCAACTCAGCATAAAACATCAAAGAGAGACAAGTGTGTGTGAACAGCAGCCCCCTTTAGGAATTAGCTCTGGAGAAGATGAGTATTGCCCTGCAGCTCTGGCCATATTCCATCCTGTAGAAGTTACCTCCTCTTTTTATCAAAAGAAGTGAGATTTTTCCCCCTTTTTGAGTGGGTTCTTGAGATAATGTTGAGTACAGAAATCAAATCAAAATACTTCATTCTCAAGCTAATAGACCACACCTTGATAGGCACTAGCAAAACTCACAAAGAACCATGGCTCATTTTGTGACTTGTGCTTACAAGAATGGACAGGAAGTGGGGATCATTGATTTGAAAATGAAGTTCAACCTCAAAAGAGATGAGGATATTCCTGAGAAAGTTGTAAGTTATTATTGCTATGAATCTTATAAAACTGGATAATCCAAGACTAACTGTGTTTCTGATTGATCACCTGTCATGAGGTAGAGAAGAGAAAGAGACGACCTTTGGAGAGTTTGGATCTTTCATTCAACACAGATATTAATTATAACTTAAAAAAGATTATTCACTTTTGTACTATCTTTGCATTTGTTCAACTTACGTTTAATTTCAATGACATGAAATAACAGAAGTGTTGCTGATGCTAGGCAATCTTGAAATAAGTAATAAGGTTCACATTTCCCTACATATGTATACTGTCATTTTCAAAATACAGCCATCATATAAACATATTTTCTTGATCTACTGATGACATGTAGCTGAGAAACACTACGCACTTTAAATAGAAAAGTAGATCTTTCTTTTGTGCACTGAGAAAGATTTTTTTTAATATATCAAGTTTCACATTTTATGGAAAAGATATAGCTTACAGAAGTAGATATTCACATCATTTTGGAATAGGGTTGGGTTTAACAATACAAAGTTTTCTTCTCATGCTGTTTCCCAGGAAGGCAGATACATTTGTTTTTTGTTTCATGTGTGCTAGAATACACTTCAAAATTTCTTCTTGTGCTATTTTGTATCATGAGCATCAAAAGTATCACTTAGCATGTAAATCAAGAGAGCCCAAAGCATGTCTATTCAAAATATCTCTGTGGGCAACCAGAACCCAACGGTGTGGACCGCTGAAACCTACAGGTGTGGGAAATCCTTATAACTATAAGCCACTGCTATTACAAACTGAAAAATACTACTTTATTAAGGTTTGCTTCACTTTAACTTTCAGATTGTCAAATTATATTGGGCTGATTTTAGGGAAAAAAGGGCAAATAGTAGTACAGAATACTAACAGCTAATCAGAGTGTCAGAAACATCTTTGGTAGATTGTTATTCACAGGCAACTAGTGTAGTAGAAATCTGGTATTTTGGTTAACGCTGATACCCAATATATTTACATATACAACAGAGTTCAAGTAGCAACCTCATCTCTCATCAGATAAACCAAAGTCAATTTAGATACTAAGACAGGTAAATGAATATTTCCAAAGGGATATTAACTGCCTCCTCCCAACAAAGTTGCTAAACAAGCAGTCCTGGGGGACAGGAACACAAAGAAATTTAAGCAACCAACTGCTGAGGTGCTTAACATTAAAGCACATAAAAATCTTAACTTGCTTTGTACCACTGTGATTACAGTGGGCGTGTATACATTCGCAGTATCTGTAACATATCTATTACTGTCCAAACAAGAGTAGAACTACTCGATAAGTAAAGTAGTTGAATCGGTGACCATACATTTTGAGAAAGGTGGAGTTTTGTCTTCAGAATTTGCAGCACTCTAAGATATTCTGAAAGCGTGTGTTCACTCCCTTAAACCAGCTCTCTGAATGAATGTATTACACCTTTAAGAGACCCTTAAATGTTTGTTACCTCACAGAGGAACTAGAAGGAAATCCAAGTGAAATTCCGAAAGAATCAGCTTATTGGATATATTACCTAGTCTATTTTTGGACCACGGATCTCCCGCCCTCTCCGAGTTATCTCACTGCCAGATAAGAAAATGGAACAGGATCAATGGGTAGATATGCTTTGAGTCTGGTTCTTGAATTTCTTTTTTGGCTCAAGTCAAAAAGAGCAAAGGGCAGCGAGTTAGGGCTGATTTCCAAGCACGCTTGTTCGTGGGTGGGTGAGCCTCTGTCTGCCCCTGTCTGCGGAGCTTATCCTGGCAGCATAGGGGGGTCCTGCTGACCGCTACCCACCTCGCCTGGCAACCTCCACACCCACATGAAGCTACCAGTGTGTGAGCCACACATCACAGGGTTTCTGTGCACAAAGCCTTATAAAACCCCCAAGCGCAAAGCTGGATGGAAGCGGTTGGCGAACGAGACCTGTCTCTCTAATTAGTCCCTCTACCTTTCACTCCCTGGCCGCAGATCTATGCGCTGAAATTGGCCCCTTCCAGAAGGGACAGTAGCGCGCGCACACACAAACTCACTCACTCTCACACACCCACATTGCTCCTGTGACCCACGTTTTCCACCCCCGGCAGATATGTAGGGACTGGTCCCTGCTCTGCCTCAACTTTCCTAGCTTTGCCTGCCCCACGCGTCACCCGAGCTCCTGCGCCCTTGTTGGGCACCCTCCAGAGGGGCAGGTACCCTTCTGGGCTGCTTACCTCGCACCATCAACTCCTGGCAGGAACTGAAGCTGACCGCGGTGGTAGCGGCAGCGGTGAGCCTGCACCCAAGATCTGGCTCATGGTTGGTCCTCTTCATCCGACACAAAAGAGGGAGCTTGCTGCCTTTGTCCTTTCTAAATCCAAGGGAGAACTTATTTTGCCCCTGAAATGGCCAACTTGTGCGCGAAGCTTCCTGTCACAGTGCCCCCTGCCCCCGCCCCCGCCCGGCTGCGCGCTGGACCACTGCCCGGTGGCCCAGCATCCAGGCCTCCGAGTCAAGGAGGAGTGGGAAAGGGAGGGCTAGAGGAGAAGAACAGGAGGAGGTTGGGAAGAAGGGGACCCAGTGGTCTTCAGCAGAAGGGAGGGGAGCTTTAGAGCCCAGTCGCCCTCCTCCTCCTTGCAGCCAAACCCACTTCCTGGGCTCAGAAGCAACTTTCCTTCACCTTGGCCAGGCTGAAACAGTCGCATCTAATTGGGACTCAGGCAGAGAGGCACGGACCTTCTGACATCCTCTCCTCCTCATTCTCTTTCTCCTTTTCTCTCTCCTCCTTTCCCTCCCCCCGTCTTCCCTCCGTTTATAGGGGTGTATCTGCAGAGTCTTTAGTGAGCTACTGTACCTAGACCTAGGTTATAATACAGAAAGCCTGGCAGGGTTGCGAGCTTCTCTGCCCTAAGGTTTGCAGCCTTTAGGCAATGCACGCAAAGGTCGGTGAATTTCGGAGCAGTGGCGTGAAGGGGCGTGGGGAGGTAGAGTGGGAGGTGGCTCTAACTTTGAAGCTCTGCTAGGGCTCATGGCACGCGGGTGGGCAGGGACTGACAGTCATTCCTAGTAAGAACTCTCTTGTGGTCCCTGTGTAAAAGGCTGACCACACTTGGAGGAGGGAGCGAAAGAGGGAGCCGTGTGAGCGAGCGAACCCAGAAGGCCGATACGCAGCTTTGCCCCACACGCGGTTCAACTGCACATTGCGAACCCCTGGGGAGGCTTGTGCAGCACAATCTCTGGGTCAGCAGGGAGGGAGACGCTCCTGTTTCCTAGCAACGCTCATCAATCTTCTCCGGATAGCTTCCTCTGAAGGAATTCGATTGGATAGCCCCTTGAGAGAAGCCACGCCCCTTCAAGAATGCTGGGCTGCTGCTTTTTCGCATTCTCCCAAATTTCTTAGGCGGAAAAAGATTCTAGGGAAGTGCTTAGATAATCTCTTCATTCTTATCCTTCGGTGCAACCACACTGACCCCTTGGAGCTACCCTTTTCCAGTCCCACATTAATCTTTCTCTAGTCTTACTTCTTGGTTAGGAGGGTCTTCACAGAACCTTTTCTTTCTTTTTAAAATTAAATAAATAAATACCTCAAATCGGTGACGTAGGCACAAAGGAGAAAAAAAAAGCACACGGAAATAGCTTCAATAGACTGCGAGCTAGAGATAGCATCCTAAAGGAAAAAAAAAAACCCAGCTTTCCATCCTGTGATTAGAAATGTGTTGTGCTCAATTTCAAAACTGAAATTTCATTAATTTTTCCATCCTGGTGTAGTAACTTTATATTAACCAAGGGCTGAGTTATTCGAAGCCAGACTCAATGAAGCAGAGTGCTTTAGATGTCACATTATCCTTTAATATTTCATGCTAAGTTGTTTAGCAACTATTTTCTTTCATAGCCCAGCCAGAACATTTAAACTACAGAAATACTTTACCACTGGTGCTTTTAGAAGGATGCTGATATTTAAAAGACACACGTGCTTTGTATAACTCATTGTGTATGCCACTAAATCTAAAATCTGGGTTATATTAAAAAACAAAACGCTGGTTGGTATACAGTGAAATGTTTGAAGTCCCCATTCAATAGAATTGCCAGAAAGAAAAGTAATTTCTCCTTTGTGTTTTATTATAATAAGTTAACATGTGCCATTCACCCACAAACCTACAAGAGTTTTGTGAAACAACTTTTAACCATTTCTGTTCAATAGACTCAGGGCCATCAAGGAACAAGGGCATGAACAATGGAGAAGATAAAGATTTGCATGTTGTTAGGAAACCATACTGACCCTTTAAGAATGTTCCAGAAGTTATCACCATGGATTTGTAAGACATTATCATAATCAGTTGAAATTAAGAGTAGGAGAGATCCCAGGCTTTCATCTCATTAAAAAAGAAAAGTCTGTTGTGCTTGCAAAAAGGAAGTGCTGATGTCTGGGCTGACAGGCATCTCTGCAGCTTGTAGGCTGTATACCACGCTGGGGCTTACAATGAGCAGAGGTTGACATAGTGAGACAAACTAGTAATCTGATATCAATTTTGGTCTTATGGGACATTTCTTTACTTCCCCATCATGCTAAACCCAGAAGGAAAAGAGAAATGAAGATGATGCTGATGTTAGTTGATACACATTATTTGAATTTTAATTCTTAGTTTTTCATCTTTCCTAACTGACATGCGTCTAACACTGTACTTAGAAAATACTATATCCAGGTTCTACAATCTATAAACCCCAAAGAATTGTTCCTATCTCAGAACTATGTCAAAACTTGCCCCTTACAATAGTCTATAAATATTAATTATGACTATTAGTCTTTGGTTTGCAGTTAACCAATGACATTAGGATTAGTGAGCACATAGAACACTTACTTAAAATTGAATTAGTCTTCTTTAACAATTTAAAAAGAAAGTTGGCTACAATATAGCTCTGCTTTTGTGTTTATTTGTGAGTGTGTGCATTTTGAGAGTTAAAACCCCCAAGGGATAAAGCTAAACAATAACTCCTGCCTAGATGCCATGGCGATTAAGAAGTACATTCTTTATTTCCCCCATTCTCCTTAAGTATTCTACTGGGCTCCATGTTACATCAATTGTCATCCACCCTTAAGTACCTCTGTTGTAGCATTTTCATATTTATTAAATCTTTTTTTATGTTTGGCATGTAAGCCATTCGTTCTAGGTTATATTTTTTACCAACTTGTTTAAATTTTACTAATTTATGAGCATTTCTTTGCTCATATAATTGTATTTAATCATTTCTTCTTATGACTCTTGACAGTTAACAGGCTGCCTTCTGGTATGTTTTTGATTTAAACATGGTACATAAAGAACGCCATCTTTACCAGTAATATCCAAAGTGGGTGACCTGTTATTTTTAATTACAGACTTCTCTCTTGTCCCTTACTTACTGTTACTAGCATTCCTCCATGACCAAATCTCTGTGGTTAGTCAGGGATGTACAGTTTGATCATGTGTGATAAAGTGATAAGGTATATACTGCACAATTCCAGTTTGTGCTTGTCATCTGGTTGTATTTCTCATTCTCACATTGCTTCTCAAAATGATTGGGTTTGGTTTGTCAAATGGCTGCCTGATGGTCCTGACCACTTGCCTCAGCCTTCATTCATTTGTTCCATCTGCTCTGTGACTCTTAGCTTTCTTTGTAGAACTCTTTTTACATAACATAATACTGACGGAACAGTTCAGTGAATAAATATATACATATTTGTTCATACACACATCTATATCTTATCTATCATCTATCTACATATCTGTCTTCTATCATATTTATCCTCTATCTATCATTTATTTATCTGTCTATATATCAATCAAAATCTATCATCTATCATTGTTATCTATTATCCATCTATCTTCTATTTTTCATTTATCTATCATCTATCAATCACAATCTATTTATCTATCATCTATCTATCATCTATCATCTATCTATCATCTATCTATCTATCATCTATCTATCTGTCATCTATCTATCATCTATCTATCTATCTATCATTTATCTAAATTTATTTATCTACCTATCATCTATCTATCTATACCACAATCTGTTTATTTATCTACCTATCATCTATCATCATTATTATCTATCATCTGTCTATCTATCTATCTATCTATCTATCATCTATCTATCATCTATCTATCATCTATCTATCTATCAATCATCTATCTGTCATCTATCTATCTATCTATCTATCCATCTACACGAAAAGATCCTGTATTTATACACAGACAACCCTTATTTATTTTTCACTCTTTCAAAGTGTTCCTAAACCTTGAATCATCTATGAATTTTAAATTTAACTGTAATCACACAATATAAAAATGAAAATATTATAATCATTGTTTTGAACACAACTCCAAAGCAAAGGGGTGTCAAGATTCCACATTCCCAAGTGAGAATTGTCAGGTGCCTTGCGCTGAAGAGAACATCCATAACTCTATGGAAAAGAGTAGAAACTTAGAAAAAGAGTAAGAACCTAGAAAAAGAGTAAAAACCTAGAAAAAGGGCGAGAGGTAGGAAATGGTAGTTGAGAATTTTTAGAGTTACTCTAAATGTAAAGGTCCAAAGTTCAATAGTAGATTTTATTAAACAGGAAATCATTTGTTACATTTCTCTAGAATTAGGGCTGCAGCAGAATGCTCTTTTATTTAACTAAAGAGGAATGTAAAATGACACATTTAGGTTCATCTCTCAGTGAGCTGAAGGAAGAAGAGAAGTTGTATGCTATGTGATGAATTTCATGAGCACTATATGTTGGAGATGCATTTTCCTATTTCTCTCCCAGAAGACCATGGTGGAAAGTCTGTGGGTTCCTGTAGACTGTGCAGGGTGCAGGGCTGTGGTGATAAAGCCTTCCAGGTTGTTCTCTGCATAAAGGTGCCACTCTTAGTACTGAAGAGAGTTGTTTTCTGAGGCTCAGCTTCTTTTGTGAACCTACTTCAGCCTGCTGAGAGGCTTCCTGTTTGTACTTCACCTGTCTGGAGGGGGTCTCTTTTAAAAATTCATATGAAGGGCTGTAGGAGATGCCTGCCAGGGAAGTGGGTAGGGTAGTAAGTGTCCTGTCATGAATGGTTCACCAGAATCAGGTCAGATTCTGCAATGAGAGAGATTCCCAGTGCTGGAGAATCTTCAAAGGACTCATAATTGGCATCAGGAAACTCAGCCATGAACACCTGCTGAGCTCAGGGAGCAGCAATGCTAGATCAGTTCTGGACAAAGAGGACTTTCTGTGGCCCTTCACACTTTGTACCTCTGACCTCTTCATCTTATGGACATCAAAAGTTCTGGCTGTTGACTGAGCATCGAAAAACTAGATAGACACAAAGAAGAGCCTGTTGGGTCCTACTGCAGCCTTCCTTGTGCTGTCTTTTGGAACTGATGGAGTAGAAAGCCCTTACCTCCCACAGACATTGGCGCTGGGTCTTATTCTGCCTTAGGTGTTATCCCATCTAAACCTTAGCCAGTTCTCCACATAATAAGATGGAAGAAGGAAGGTTTATCTGGAACACTCCCAGGGTCAAAGTGCTATCTTTGCAATATATTCAAGGAGATAAGAACAAGCATCATTGGCAAGATACAGAGACTCAGTGATGGGAAAGGAAAAAAGTGTTTTTGTGGAGCTTTATGAGACTCGCTTTTTTTTTTTATGAGACTGATCATCAGTTTGGATGTGGCGTGTGTGTGTGTGTGTGTGTGTGTGTGTGTGTGTGTAGGTTCAAGGACAACTATGAGTGTTGGTGCTTGCCATCCACCTTGTTCGAGACACTGTTCGGTCCTTTGTTTTTGCTGCTTCCTATCTTGGGCTAGCTGGTCCCAAGCTTCTGGGATTTCTCTTGTCTCTATCTCACATCCTGATGTAGGGCACTGCACTGAGATTACAGATGTTGACTACACTGCCTAGCTTTATTTGTGTTCAAACTTAGATCCTCATGCAAGCTGCCTACTGAGCAAATTATTTTTCGTTTGATTCCTTAATTCTCACAAAGAAGGAAAAATATTCTTGGGTATTTAATATGTTTTTTGATTTCCTTTTGTCTTAAATATCATATAGTAACAACTAAAATGCAGTAGGTTACAAACAGAAATGTTTGAATATTAAAATACTTTGTGTTAAGAATGTCTTATTTGAAGTGTTCTTATCTTACTCTTGTGTGTGTGTGTGTGTGTGTATGGTTGCTTCCACGTGTGTGT